TCCCATGATGATAAAAAAATATTGGATGAAGCTGGACATTACATAGAATTATTGGACTCATACTCCTACAGTGATAAAAAACATTCATGGATGAAGCTAGTATGATATGAAGATTATAACACTTCTCACCTTATTACGATGTTTATTTTGAGTCTTGTTCACCTTGCAATACAAAAAATATTCAAGTATAAAAGCAATAAATTTAAGATAATAATGTACATTGACAGTACAAATGCACAAAATAAGTTTTACAAAAGCTTATGTGGGAAACAATCCAAGAATTCAAAAGTTAGCTGCTTACTGAAGATGGTTGCTCACAAGATAGATTGGTCATGCACTCAAAGAGAGTCAACTACTGTATAAATATTGTTATATTATTACCTGAAACTGTGCTTCTGGGTCCCATATCACAAAGTCGGCATCCATACCAACAGCTATATATCCTTTTTGATTATCCAAATGGCAGAGTTTAGATGGCTGTTCACATAACACGCGAACAACGTCATGTAGGGTGAAACCTCTATCTTTTGCTCCAGTCCAAAAGAGTGAAAGCCCTGGCAATGGAGGAAAAATAACAGATGTTACCATTGGTTGCAATAAGTCCAGACATAATCTTCAACATGCAATATTGATAATAGACTGTATTGTTTTGTTTTGTTCAGGATAAGGAGTGGATCTGGGATTTTCTTCAGGGAAGGGAGAATGTCACTTAGGGGGAGGGGGATGCACTCCACAAATACATTTGTATTACTTACAAAGAAAACACAAATTAGGGAATGTATTGAAGAACACTCAGTCTCAGTAGAAGGTCTGCACCCCCCTGCACCCACCAGCTGGATCCCCATCTGTCCTTTAACTATTTCTTTCGCTTTTCATCATTTTGAATAATATCAATCTTACAATGAACAGTTGGAGCATACACTTACCATATTGCAGAGATGAAATCCCTCCCCATGCTCGCATGAAATCCCCCTCTTCCATGACCTTTAGGTCTGGGGTGCAAGGTGAATGATCAGACACAACAAGATCAATGTCACCTAACCTCAAAGCATCCCATAATGCATTCTGT